ATCCATGAATTCTTCTCAGTAGCCATACAAGCTTTTCACTATTTTAACCCACTAATATTTATAGCATTTAGAAGTTTATAGTTGAGATCTTTCTGTTCTGGATATTATTTTAACTATGTAAAGATGTGTTACATGCTGGGCGTTGGTGGCACAAGCCTTTAATCCCAGCACTTGGGAGGCAGAGGCAGGCCGATCTCTGTGAGTTCCAGGCCAGCCTGGTCTCCAGAGCGAGTGCCAGGATAGGCTCCAAAGCTACACAGAGAAACCCTGTCTCGAAAAAACAAAAAAAAAATATAGAAAGTTAAAACGCTTTCTGCGTGGTGATGTTTTCTTTATGATCTAACAAATAAAGCTTCTTGAAGATCAGAGTGCAAAGCCAGCTATACTAATTAGTTACAGAGGCCATGAAGTAGTGGCATACACCCTTAAACCCAACACTTGGGAGACAGAGGCAGACTGTTTCGTTAATTCAAGGCCACCCTGAGCTACAACATTGATCCAATCTAAAGGAGAAACAGAGATCACACAAAGGTAGTCTCAGCACTTGGGATCCCAGGTCTTTAGTGCTAGCACTAGAGAGGAATAAAAGGCAGGAGGGGACAGGAGCTCAGTGCAGTCTGAGGTTTGTTGGAGATTGTAGTCTGAGGGTTCGTGAAGACAGGATTGCCTATTTCTGTCTGAGATAGAGGTAAGAGCTAGTGGCTGGCTGCTTTGCTTCTCTGATCTTCAGCTTTAATCAAAATATCGGTCTCTGAGTTTATATTATTAAGATCAACTACTCATAAAATCTATTCTATTTTCCTCTCCTAGGGAGATTCAATAGGTAAGTATTTTAATGTCTGGTAACTTGGAAGACTACTAAGATTCCTATTTTATTGCTATAAACACTGCATTTGATTTTCTCTTGGGCTATAATATCTTTCTGTCATATGGTCTCATAGCTATTAGTAGATTTCTTAGGTATTTCATTTCATACCTTACAAATACATCATTTGTCAATATTTCTTACCCTGGATAAACAATAAAATAATACTTAAGCTGTTGGAACCTCAGCATCATTCTGACCCCGCCCTCTAACAATGGGCAGACACGCATACCTTTGTGGCCATGTCATGGCTATGGCACACATTAAGGGGCTGTGTAAGGACTCAGTACGCATGTGCTAGCTTCCCTTTTACGCAAGCGCCCCTCACACCTTCTCTCTGTTCCTGGCTTGCCAATATCTAATCCCCTCCCTCCCACCTTGTTCCCTTCCTCCAATAAACTCCACGTGGGTGTGTTGAGTTTTGTGGTTCGTGTTTCATAGCTTGCCACTACAGCAAAAGAACAACATAAACTACAATTAAATAGAAGTTTTGTATCTTGTTCCAATGCACTACACATCCACTGCATCTCAGATTCTACAGAATTCTGGCAGG